GTGTAAAATTTACCATTAGGTTTTACTAGTTGGTTAACGAGAATAACATTAATATCAAACCAGTTCTCAACAAACTTTTTTTCTTGTGAGTGATATGCTTATTATTCCAAATATAACAAGTATGTGGCGAGAAGTTGTGCTTAAAGTTGGAGGACCATGCAAGTATCTGCTTGTGAAAATGTGAGAACTTCATGGGGATTTTGGGAATGTCATAATAACAAATCAAAAAACATTTCAGACCTAGTTTGTAGAAAATGTAAGAAGGGATAATGTTCCATATAGACATTGGATTGAGTAAAAACGTTTTAATACGGTTAATTTTTAAAGTGTTATTGAGAGTTGAGAAGTCTATAAAAATTTAAATGAACAGAATCGGTGACAAATGGCAGCCTTGACAGAGTCCAACTCTCACTGGGAACAAGCCCGACTTGCTGCCGGCAATGCGGTCCAAGCTCTGACGGCGGTCATACAGGGACCTAACAGCACGTATCAGAGGGCCCGGTACCTCCAACAGCACCCCCCCCCCCCCCCCCCCCCCCCCCCCCCCCCCCCCCCGAGGGACGTAGTCAAACGCCTTCTTCAAATCCACAAAACACATGTAGACTGGTTGGGTAAACTCCTAAGCACCCTCCAGGATCCCCCTAAGGGTGTGGAAGTGGTCCAGTGTTCCACGGCCAGGACAAAAACCACATTGCTCCTCCTGAATCTGAGGGTCGACAATCCGACGGACCCTGCTCTCCTGAATAGACCATACCAGGGAAGCTCAGGAGTGCGATCCCCCCCGTAGTTGGAGCATACTTTGTGGTCCTCTTTTTTTAAACAGGGGAAGCACCACCCCGGTCTGCCAGTCCAGTGGAACTGCCCTGATGTCCACGCGATACTGCTAAACAACAGTTTAAAATGTCTTTTTCTGAAAAAGAATAAAGAACGCAATGCATCGCTACATAATTCAGAGTACGACAACCCACCACAAACTTACGCCTCAGAAGCATGGACTTGCTAGCCTGATATGCCATTCTATATATTTCCACACCAGAAAAAGTTTAGTTTGATAACTTGTTTTTTAAAAGATTACTTTGGGGGAAACAGTGTGACAACTTGGGCTAACTTACTGAACTTATTTTTAGATGGACATTCAGACTTAAAAGGAAACAAACGTGTGAAAGTCGTTACGGAGGTTAGGACTTTTCAAGATTCTGCAGACCTACATACAAGGTGTAGAAATTCATGTGCACCTTAAAGTCAAAGAAAGGGATTTAAGACATTTAAAGCATCGTCTCCATCAAGTGATGTTTTAAAACAGATTCGGGATTGATGCTCATGATTGCACAACAGACAGAGTGTAGAATAATGTGGACTTTGAGTTTTTTCCTCTGCAGATTTTAACTCATACAGCTGAAACAAACATTTAGTAGGTTTCTACACACACACACACACACACACACACACACACACACACACACACACACACACACACACACACACACACACACACACACACACACACACACACACACACACACACACACACACACAATAAACACACACACACACACACACACACACACACACACACACACACACACACACACACACACACACACACACACACACACACACACAATAAACACACCCTGAGCAAGTAGTCTGTCAGAAAAGTTTAATTTATTAAGATATATTTACATAAAAGGGCCATTCAGAAAAACAGGATATAAATTGGAAAAAAATACATTTGAAATGTTTCTCTGCTTTCACCCTTTTCCCCACAGCTCCTGCATTTTTCATACGTATTTATTACAAAGCAGGTTATGAACGACACCCTCTAGATTACAGTAATGTCAAACTGAAATGAGTAAAGACAGATATATCGTCCAAATCAACACTACGGAACCAGAGCTCATGTCCAAGTTGAAGTTCCACTGAGAAACGGCAGGAATAATCTAAAAACTATCTACACTTCTGTCTGTTCCTCCTGGGTTAGCAAGGACAAATACAAAATACAAAATGCCCTCGGGTACAAAGCAGAACTCGGAGCAGAAACCGAAATCAAGAGCCTCAGAACCTGCTTTTAAAAGATCTCCCCCACATAAATAACTGTAGACAGTGAAACAGTTTTAGACTGAGGTAACCGCACCGTGTGCTCGTACAATTATAAAACGCTCCCACCCCATTCTCACAGACACTCAGGAAGGTGACGTGGGTTTGTCTGTCCATTAGCTTCTCCGTCTGAACCCAGAACCAAACTACACTTTTCAATCTGAACTCACATTTTAAACAGAAAAGAGTCAGAAGCTTGAGATTTTGAAACACAGAGAAGTTTTAAACATGTTATGGGTTTTTGTCTTCCTGCTGGTCAGCAGACAGGAAGTGAGTGGGTCACTGCTGATACACCTGTGGGTCAATAGCAGCTTGGTGTGTGTGTGTGTGTGTGTTGTATCAGGACATCCAGACCCAACCTAGCACCAGAGGTACCAACTGGTGGACCAATTACTGCTCTTCATCTCTTAACTGAAGCTGGTAAGGACCATGTTGTGTCCAGACTGGTAGTTTAAATTCCCACCAACATGAAGCTCCCCTTATGGACAAGTAATGTTACTACACCTTACTTCTAGTTGGCTTTAATCAGATGTCGCCTGCTTGTTGCTCCAGATGATAAAAATGTGTGTAGCCCTCACTCACAGGTCCACCTGGAACCAACTAAAGTCCAAAAGTCAGTGTATGGGATCACGGCTGAACGGGAACTATCAAACAAAGAATTGTTGAACTTGTTGTAAAAATTCAGCCAGGCTAAAACACGAGAACCAGTCCCAAACCACAAGGCACATGTTCGGAGATTCATGGGAGTTTTCCCACTTCTGTAAGATAACTGTGCTGATTTAATCCATCCTGGATCTGTCCGGCGAAAACCCTAAATACTAGAGGCCATCCCACACCACCAAATCATCTACAGAACCAGACGTGTCTGTCTGCCATCTGTGTTATTTTACCAATTAGAGTTAAGGTCACATTTCATCATCGCACCAGGTGTGTTTAGCCACCCAGGTGCTGCTTTCCTTCTGTACACACGGCTACAGATTATCAGATTTCAGCCCATTTTTAAAAACCACCAAATAAGAATTTCTTTATTTACAATAATTAATTTTTTTTACTTACTTTCATTTTCTCATGAAAACTCCTGGAGCAAAGGCCAAAGTAAGTCAGAAAGATTTGGTTTTTAACCAAAAACGCTCCTTTGTGCCAGAATCATCGCGACCAAGGTGCTCCAGAGATAACAGAACCTGGGGAACGTTTCCCCCAACAATGACAGCACACAATAACCATGTTCCTATGATGCAGCCGAATCTTTAAGGCTTGAGAGAAAAAGTAGAATAACAGAACTGAGGAGAGACAGAGATAGCTCTGAGTTAATAAGATGACTACTATTCACTCAGAGAGGTGCAGGTGGCACAAACCCTCTAAACCACATTAAAGTGGTTAATCCTTGGGTTTGGCGTTCAGTTGTGACATAAAACTACAGACTTTTACTTTTGGCTCCCATACTTGTCGTGCCTGACTTTTACCATCCAGATTGGTTTGTTAGTTTCCCAAATAGGATCCTAAGTGGATTTCTGGGTGTCCATCATACAGCAGAATGAAGCTAAACGCAGGCAGATGCTCCCTAACCTGAGTTTGTGGTGATGTGGTTTCATGAACATTGATGAAAGTATTGATCACAGTAGGATGTGCGGAGAGCTCACAGCTCTTTCTAAAGCCCTTACACGGAGAGCGGAGCACTGGACATGTTTAAGGCCTTGCTGTGTGATGATTCTGTGTGCTAAAACCTGACACAAGGCTGTGACGTGACAGATTGCATAAGTCAACATTTTTACTAAACGCAATTAGTTACAAACCAAAATATTAAACGTCTGTTATTTAAAGGTAGGACTTTACAATACAAATCAAGTCCCTGTGTGTGTGTGTGTGTGTGTGTGTGTGTGGGATTAGATGTAAACAGTGCAAGTTAACACAATGTGATTTCTGTTTCTGTGGATATTGTCCCTCAGAGCAGAGTGTATAGGTGTGCAGTTAGATGTCGTCTCTCAGAGAGGTGTTTGTAGGTGTGTGTACTGCTGTGATGGTGTGGAGGCTGAAGACGAGGTGGTATTGGAGGTGCTGCTGTTAGCAAGATGGTAGGAAGAAGAGTCAGACAGCTGAAGCTGCTCCAGCTTCTTCAGGTACTCGTCTCTGAGGGCCAGAAGCTCCTTGTAGCGCTGCTCCACTGGACTCTGCTGCTGGAGACACACACACACACACACACACACACACACACACACACACACACACACACACACACACACACACACACACACACACACACACACACACACACACACACACACACACACACACACACACACACACACACACACACACACACACACACAAGAAGAAGTTATAAAAGTAGCATTTTTACATCTGCTTGATCAGGTCATTCAGGTCTGACTTATTGCTGGCTAAACCGATCAGACTCACACTTTCTTGGTACAGAGACTGAACAGTTCTTAAAGGCACACTTGGCAGTTTTAGCTTGCTTTTAGCCCCCCGGTGTCCATTTAGTAGAACCAAATATGAAACCTATCTCCTCGCTGTGTGTTCGTGTGTTTTAACACCTTATTCTAACTACTGAAATGTCTCCCCAGCCTTCATTGGTGTCTACAGGAGCGGTTCATCACAAAATGATACAAACCAGCTATGTTCACAATCACAGTATGCAGGAAACATGGACTGCGGCACCAGGTATGCCAGCTACATTTTTTTTCAAGTCAAACAGGTGGAGGCCCACCACTCTGAAGTTGCAGTGTGATATTCTGGCCACAGAGGGCGCTGGGGTCTGAGTGACATTTCATTAACCCTGTAAAGGGTTATTTTAGCACACAGTGGCTCAAGAAAATTGTTTTAAAATATGAAAACGTTGCATAGTATGGCTTTAACAGAAGGCCATACATGCCATGCTTCTTGAGTACCACCCACAAGCTGCCCCTAGGAACACAGTCATCCCATCTTCTCCAGATCCATTAAACTGGTAGAACATACTCCCATACCCCCTCCATCACTCTAACAAGGGTACAGAGCTGGTCCATAGCTACATGGTAAAGACCAAAACCATATTGTTCTGCCTCAATTGGAGCTTCAGCTATCGACTGGACCCCCCTCTCCAATACCTTGGTGTAGACCTTTCTGGGGAGGCTGAGGAGTGTGATCCCAGTAGTTGGAACACATCCTCCATTCCTCTTTATTGAAAATATGGACAATCATCACTATAGAATAGAACAGACTTTGTTGATCCCACAGTGGGGAAATTCACTTGTTACAGCAGCACCAACACTTAAGAAAATACTTTGAAGAAAAATAATAACAAAGGTACATGTGTATACACATAGGCAGTAGTCTAGAGCTGTAACCTTCGACCACTAAAAACCATGAATGAAAAAGAAAAAACTTGGGTTCCAACACTGCAGCGTACTGCAAGAGACACGGACATACTATGTAAATCTGGTATTGAACGAGTATTGAACACATAATGAACATTGCATTGGTGTTATTGTGTACCAGGATAATGCCAGTACCAGTTAAACTGAGTGAGGAGTTATACACTCCTACAGCAGAGGGGATGAATGACCTACGGTAGCATTCTGTTTTACATCTGGGATGTCTCAGCCTGCCTCTGAAGGTGCTGTCCATGGTCTCCACAGTGGAATGCAGTGGGTGGGAGGGGTGTTTAAAGAAGCCAGTCATCTTCCCAAGCATTCTCCTTTCTCACACATCTGTATCTCTATCCTAGTCTGATACTCTACAGGCACCACACCTGATGTCTATGCAATGCTTGGTACAGGGCAACCATAGTTAAATGTTTACCTGGGGCCAGATTTAGAGGAGCTGATTCTCATCCCAGCTGCTTCACACTTGGCTCCGAACTGCTCCAGCGAAAGCTGAAGATCATGTTCTGATGAAGCCAACAGGACCACATCATCTGCAAAAAGCAGAGACCTTATCCTCAGGCCACCAAAACGGATGACCTCCACACCTTGGCTGTGCCTAGAAATCCTGTCCATGAAGGTTATGAACAGAATCGGTGACAAAGGGCAGCCTTGGCGGAGTCCAACTCTCACTGGGAACGAGCCCGACTTACTGCCGGCAATGTGGACCAAGCTCTGACACCGGCCATACAGGGACCTAAACGCCCGTATCAGAGGGCCTGGTACCCCATACTCCCGGAGTACCCCCCCCCCCACAGGGCCCCGGAGGGACGTGGTCAAACGCCTTCTCCAAATCCACAAAACACATGTAGACTGGTTGGGCAAATTCCCACGCACCCTCCAGGATCCCCCTAAGGGTATAGAGCTGGTCCAGTGTTCCACGGCCAGGACGAAAACCACATTGCTCCTCCTGAATCTGAGGTTCAACAATCCGACTGACCCTCCTCTCCAGAACCCCTGAATAGACCTTACTAGGAAGGCTCAGGAGTATGATCCCCCTGTAGTTGGAACACACCCTGCGGCCCCCCTTTTTAAATAAGGGAACCACCACCCCAGTCTGCCAGTCCAGTGGGACTGCCCCCGATGTCCACGCGATATTGCAGAGCCACATCAGCCAACACAGCCCCATAACATCCAGAGCCTTAAGGAACTCCGGGCAGATTTCATCCACCCCCGGAGCCTTGCCACAGAGGAGCTTTTTAACCACCTCAGTGACCTCAGCACCAGAGATTTGAGAGGCCAACCCAAAGTCCCCAGACTCTGCTTCTTCACTGGAAGACGTGTCGGTGGGATTGAGGAGGTCTTCGAAGTATTCTGCCCACCGATCCACAAAGTCCTGAGTAGAGGTCAGCAGCACACCGTCCCCACTATAGATAGATAGTGTTGGTAGCACACTGCTTTCCCCACCCCCGAGGCGCTGGATGGTGGACCAGAATCTCCTCGAAGCCGTATGGAAGTCTTGCTCCATGGTCTCACCGAACTCCTCCCATGCCCGGGTTTTTGCCTTGGCGGCCACCCGAGCTGCGTTCCGCTTGGACTGCCGGTACCCGTCAGCTGCCTCCGGAGTCCCACGGGCAAAAAAGACCTGATAAGACTCTTTCTTCAGCTTGACAGCACCCCTAACCACCGGTGTCCACCAGCGGGTTCGGTGGTTGCCACCACGACAGGCACCGACGATCCTGTGACCACAGCTCGGGTTGGCCGCCTCAACAATGGAGGCACGGAACAGGGTCCATTCAGACTCAATGTCCCCCGCCTCCCCCGGAACATTTTGGAAGTTCTGTCGGAGGTGGGAATTGAAGCTCCTTCTGACAGGAGACTCTGCCAGACGTTCCCAGCAGACCCTCACGTATGTTTGGGCTTGCCTGGTGTGACCGGCATCCTCCCCCACCATCTGAGCCAACTCATCACCAGGTAGTGGTCAGTTGACAGCTCCGCCCCCTCTTCACCCGAGTGTCCAAGACGTGTGGCCGCAGGTCAGATGAAACAACAACAAAGTCGATCATCGAGCTGCGGCCTAATGGGCCATTCGCATCTGTACCGGGTCGGCCCGGGTAGCCCCAGTCGGCCCCAGCCTAGCCTGGTTGATTCCACACATCTTTGCCTTAAGCCAATGTGGGCTGATTCTACCCACCAATCAGAGGCTTGCTCTAATGGAAGGTGTGAATTTGCTGTCAGCAGGGGGTGTGTTGGCCCTGGTCGGCCTGAAGCAGACCCCCTCGAGAAGAGGGCTGAGAATGAGCCTTGGTTGGCCCGGAAAAATACCAGGCCACCCAGATATGTAAACAACCTACGCTACCCAGCCCGGGCCGACCCGGTACAGATGGGAATGGCCCATAAGGTATCCTGGTGCCAAGAGCACATATGGACACCTTTATGTCTGAACATGGAGTTCATTATGGACAATCCATGACTGGCACAGAAGTCCAATAACAAAACACCACTCAAATTCAAATCAGGGGGTCGTTCCTCCCAACCACACCCCTCCAGGTCTCACTGTCGTTGCCCACGTGAGCGTTAAAGTCCCCCAGCAGAACGAGGGAGTCACCGGAAGGAGCGCATTCTAGCACCCCCTCCAAGGTCTCCAAAAAGGGTGGGTACTCTGAACTGTAGTTTGGTGCATAAACATTAGTGAGAATTACAAATGATATTTTCATGGCCTCAGATAATAATCTTGTGTCTGTTCTAGTCTTGTTGGATCTCAGTGCTGCCTTTGACACAGATGATCACAATGTTCTTTTAGAAAGGGTTGAACATGTTGTAGGGATCCAAGGAACAGCGCTAGGCTGGTTTAAATCCTACCTGTCTGATAGATTTCATTTTGTAAATGTACATGACAAATCTTCTTCATACTCCAGAGTTAATTGTGGAGTACCACAGGGTTCAGTGCTTGGACCAATTCTTTTTACTACATATGCTCCCAATTGGTAAAATCATTAGACAGCATGGGATAAACTTCCACTGTTATGCTGACGATACTCCGTAATATCTATCCATTAACCCTGATTAACCTAATTGGTTAGTTAGATTACAGGCTTGTCTTGAAGACATAAAAAAATCGGATGACTCAAAACTTTTTGCTTTTAAATCAAGACAAGACTGAAGTTCTCATCTTTGGACCTGAAATTCAGAAAAAGAAATTGCTTAGTCAATCACCTGACCTGAATGGCATTAAATTAGTCTCCGAGAACAAGGTAAGGAACCTTGGTGTTATCTTTGACCAGGACATGTCATTCAAATCCCACGTTAAACAGGTTTGTAGGATTTCCTTTTTCCACCTTCGGAATATTGCTAAGATTAGATGCATGTTTTCCAGGAGTGATGCTGAAAAACCAGTTCATGCATTTATTACATCAAGACTGGATTACTGTAATTCAGGAAGTCTTCAGCTTGTCCAAAATGCTGCAGCTAGAGTTCTGATAAGAATTAAAAAGAGAGATCATATCTCTCCTGTCTTAGCTTCCCTACATTGGCTGCCTGTTAAATTCAGAATAGATTTTAAGATCCTTCTTTTCACATATAAAGCTCTTAATAATCAAGCTCCATCATACATCAGTGACACCTGATTATTCCATATGTTCCTAACCGAGCACTTCGCTCTCAGACTGCAGGTTTACTGGTGGTTCCCAGAGTATCTAAAAATAGGATGGGAGGCAAATCTTTTCATTATCAGGCTCCTCTCTTGTGGAACCAAATCCCACCTTCAGGCCGTGAGGCAGACACTTTGTCTACTTTTAAGACTAAGCATTTTTATTTGATAGGGCCTATGGTTAAAATCTGATGTCAGCCTAGATCTGGACAAGTGGAGGAGTAGAGGGAAGTGGAGTGTATATCCGGTTCTCCCTTGCCCTGCCTCCAACATGCCTCCATCAATAAGGCTAGGTGTGTGTGTGTGTGGGTGGGTGGGTGGGTGGGGTGGGGGTGGGGGTTTGCTGGTGTTGGTGTGTGTGTGTGTCTGCTCTGTCTTCTCCATCCTCAGTGAGTCGTGGAGGATGGCTGCTTATACTGAGCCAGGATTCTCTGGAGGTTTCTTCCTGTTAAAAGGGAGTTTTCCTCTCCACTGTCGCTGCATGCTTGCTTAGTATGAGGATTGCTGTAAAGTCACTGACACTAGTCAGTGACTTGATGCAATTTGCTGGGTTCCTTATATAGGAAACTTTTTTCTGATTGTCTTAATGAACTGACCTGTACTGGAATGTTTACTATGTGAAGTGCCTTGAGACGACTCTTGTCGTGATTTGGCGTTATATAAATAAACTTGAATTGAATTGAACTTGAATGCTTCAGAGGTGTGTCAACCAAGACGGTGCTACAACATCAATCATCATCGAATACTTGGGAACAAGCTGACGCTGTAAAACAATGAACAGGGTGATGTGTTTAGCTGCATGTCATCATTACAACACTGGCTGTCTAGGTTGTGTTCCAAAATGCCCAGAGGGTTGCAGGTGTGCTCGGTCGTTGTACAAGACACTTCACCCTCCTTGTCTGATGGTAGCAGTTGAGTGAACTGGTAGCAACACCTCTGCCAGTTAGCCCCAGGGCAACTGTGGCTACAATGTAGCGTATCACCAGCATGTGAATGTGTGCTTGGGTGAATGATTGTTGTGTTGCAAAGTGCTTTGGGGGGTTCTTGAACAGCCCATTTACCTTTCTTTCCAGGAATACGGTTGAATTTACTAGTTCCCAAAAACCACGACAATCCAGGGTTCAGCCATGGAAGCAGGCAGACTTCTCACTGACCAGTGACCCAGGTCGATAACGAAAAATTTTCTATTTATTGCCCACCCCTACTCCAGGTCCTACTGTCATTTCCTATGTTGGCACTGAAGTCCCCAGCAGGACTTTGGAGGCCCTGGTAGGAGACCTCATCTCACGTTCTCCAAAAAGGGGGATACTCTGAGCTGCTATTTGGCACATAAGCATTAAAAACGGCCAGGACCCAGACCCCAAGCCCTACATCCCTCACCCAGAGCAACTCCAGAGAAGAGGGTCCAACCTCTCTCAAAGACTTGGGTTCTACACTCAAGAGCTCAAACTCTTCAACAAGCCCCAGCTCCTTGCCTTCCACAGAGGCAACATCATTTAGCCTAAACTGAGTTTAAAGCATCCAGCTAACTAACAGACCTGACAGACAGATCAGGAGACATCTTGATCTGTCTGTCAGGGACAAAAAGTCAATCAACTCTGTTTGACTCAGCAGACTAAACCTTCAGATTAATAGAGTTGATCTACCTGATGTTACTACCTATGCCAGGTGTCCTACCTGCTGTCGGATACGAGGGTTCCAGCGGATGTAGTAGGCCACCCACAGCTCCAGGTGCCGCATGCTAGCAACAGGGTAGAGAACTTGCCCAGAGTCTGGGGTGTAGAAGGGGTTTAAATAAATGTCCATCCTACTGTTGACCAGAGACCACAGAGACACGGTCTTCAACCTCACCTCCTGAAACACAGAAAATGGTTCACACCAGCTGCTGAGTTCAGTTCAGTAAGATGTTCAACCTGCTTTAACCATCCTGCTGTAGGGAAGCGGATCCAGAAAAGGATCAGCAATCACCCGCCATTCTACAATCACCTCTACAATCCTCCTCTCTAGATAAATGCAGGTATGACCAAACCCACAAGGAAGCCCTGTGAAGGACAGAAGAAGTTACTCTTACGTGCTGGTCTCGAGCACTCTCACAGTTGAAGAGGAAAGTTCCAAAGCGACAGCTGTAGAGATGATCCAGGATCGTCAGCAGGAGGTTCTCATTGAACTCAAAGGCTGTAGGAAACTAAGAGGAGACACAGTATCAGACACGTTCTCTCTGTCCTAAAACCCTCATGGTAACAATCACAACTAATGTATTCACTGTGAGCGGAGCTGAAACACACTGTGTTTACATGATTTGGTCACATGACAGCAGACAGATGGATTATCTAAAAGTTATCCGTGTTCTCCAAGAGAAAAGTCGTTTTTACTAAACAAAAATAAAGAACTGATTTTAATAACAATGGTAGTGAAAAGAACAGAGCAAAGCAATGGTGTTGTTAGGGTTAAGTCTTTTGGTAAATCTATTGGCTGGTAGGAGAAGAGTCATCAGTGATGAACAGCTGGATGAAAAATAACACGATCAAATCAGATTATCCAAACTGACACGGGGCACTAATGTTCTGCCATTACGAAAGGGAACGGCAGACTAAATAACCGTTTAAAGGGTTAAAACCCTATTTATAGCTTCATATAAGACAAAAACTATCCTAAAATTCTTATTTCTAAATAAACGTGATATGAGTTAACGAACCTGTTTAGTCATCTGCCACACACAGTCGATAAACTGAAGAAAGATCGGTGATCTGTCCTGGTCAGCATGGTTCTTATCACCGTGACCTATCCTCTGAGCAAACAAACACAAACACATCAATCAATCAAGCTACACGTCCGCCAACCAACCACACCCACCCACCCAATCTCTGAACTTCACACTGAGGTTTTCCATATTCCCGTAAAAAGGTTCCCATCCAAACAAGAGCAGCTGAGGCAGACTGATCATTCAAATCTTACTTACCGAAGCAAATTTGTGACCAAAGCTAATCCATTCCTTTTCAATCAGCACCTAAAGACAAACAGTTTTGCGTGTGAATCTGAGGAACCATGTGGTTTCCTGTGACCTCTAAGGAGGCACTGACCTCGAATCCTCGGAGAGTCCGGTAATGACTGTCCAGCATCAGCATGGCCAGGGAGGTGAGCTGAGCTGTTCGGTCCCAGCCGTCACTACAGTGAACCACCACAGAGTTACCACTAGATACCTTGTCTGCTACTTGGATGGCGCCTGACAACACCAGCTACAAAGAACAACAGAAAGGTGCGTTCTAGAAACAGGGAGGAGAATGTACTGGTGGATTCTGGCCAAGAGGACTCTGCTTCTTACTTTGATGTGTTCCAACCAGTGTGTGGACTCTAGGCTGGACAGCCAATGAGATTCCTCGACAGTAGGGTAGACAATGTCTTTGAGTTTCTTTAGGGACTCCCTCATGACATGGATATTCTGGATGTCCAGGAATATCAGCTCTGCATTCTGGTACTCGTCCCCCTCGTAGCCCCCTCCAGTGGCCTGAGGGTTTCAAAGACTGTATTTGTTTCACACATGCAGACGTGATTACTTATGTTAGCAAAGGCCTGAATATTTACAGCTGATGAATCCAGGTGTTGTTTGGCCTGTAGACAGAGTAAAACCCTTCATGTAGACTTCTCTAGAGCCGACTGTGGTGATGAGGAACAATCATACCCACAATTTACCCACGACACCAACTAGCTGGGCAACAACCATACCAGTGAAACAAAATTTACGTGGGAGCATTTTAAACCCAATATTTTAGGGATTGAAACAACACAACACTATAGTGACCCCTTCTTTCCACAGGAGCCGTCAGCAGCACGTTACTGCAGCAGCACGTCATAGCTGCTGATAGGAACCGCTGTGGTCAACAGAACCTTTTCCACCGGAGCCGTCAGCAGCGCGAGTCGGCCGCGTCTCAGGAGCAGCATGTCGCGGCCCTTACGCGCCAGTTCTATTTTCTACACGCGACGCCTCTAAAACGGGTCAAGTTCGACATTTTTGGGGAAGGAAAGACAGGAAATCGGACGCGGAAACAGAGCGAAGCTCCCGAGATTTTCAGAATACAGAACGTACTGCCTTCAGGTTGCTTTACTTTAAAAAAAGTTACTAACTGTGCGTCCCCGTGAGAAGTTATCACCTAGCTAGCGGTCTCCTTTGTTTTTCAGGTCTGTATTGGCGATTATTAAAGGGACAGAACATAAAACACGTTTTGGAGCCATGTTGTAGTTTTCTTCTGCTTGTTGTTGTGTTTACTGACGAAGTCACTCATGTGACTTCGTGCTCTGTCGGTGACAGCTGCTCCCCTGCTGCTTTGCGTCTCGTGGGAAGGGCCAAGCAGCAGCTTACGCGAGCAAGACGTGCTGCTGCAGTAACGTGCTGCTGACGGCTCCTGTGGAAGGTTACTGTGAACCTTCTACAAAGTTAACAATCCTGTCATAATAATTTAAATATACAGTGATGTGAAAATCTATTAGCCTCTTCCTGATTTCTTATTCTTTTGCATGTTTGTCACACAAAATGTTTCTGATCATCAAACACATTTAACCATTAGTCAGAGATAACACAAGTAAACACAAAATGCAGGTTTGAAATGAAGGTTTATATTATTTAGAGAGAACAAAATCCAAACCTACATTGCCCTGTGTGAAAAAGTAATTGCCCCTCTTGTTAAAAAATAACCCAACTGTGGTGTTTCACACCTGAGTTCAATTTCTGTAGCCACCCCCAAGCCTGATTACTGCCACACCTGTTTCAATCAAGAAATCACTTAAATATGAGCTGCCTGACACAGAGAAGTAGACCAAAAGCACCTCAAAACCTAGACATCATGCCAAGATACAAAGAAATTCAAGAGCAAATGAGAACAAAAGTAATTGAGATCTATCAGTCTGGTAAAGGTTATAAAGCCATTTCTAAAGCTTTGGGACTCCAGCGAGCCACAGTGAGAGCCATTATCCACAAATGTCAACAACATGGAACAGTGGTGAACCTTCCCAGGAGTGGGCGGCCGACCAAAATTACCCCAGAGACAACTCATCCGAGAGGTCAGAAAAGACCCCAGGACAACTTCTAAAGAACTGCAGGCATCACTTGCCTCAATTAAGGTCAGTGTTCACGACTCCACCATAAGAAAGAGACTGGGCAAAAATGGCCTGCATGGCAGATTTCCAAGACGCAAACCACTGTTAAGCAAAAAGAACATTAGGGCTCGTCTCAGTTTTGCTAAGAAACATCTAAATGATTGCCGAGACTTTTGGGAAAATACCTTGTGGACTGATGAGACAAAAGTTGAACTTTTTGGAAGGCAAATGTCCCGTTACATCTGTCGTAGAAGTAACACAGCATTTCAGACAAAGAACATCATACAAACAGTAAAATATGGTGGTGGTAGTGTGATGGTCTGGGGTTGTTTTGCTGCTTAGGAACTGGAAGGCTTGCTGTGATAAATGGAACCATGAATTCTACTGTCTACCAAAACTTCCTGAAGGAGAATGTCCGGCCATCTGTTCGTCAACTAAAGCTGAAGCGATCTTGGGTGCTGCAGCAGGACAATGACCCAAAACACACCAGCAAATCCACCTCTGAATGGCTGAAGAACAACAAAATGAAGACTTTGGAGTGGCCTAGTCAAAGTCCGGACCTGAATCCTATTGAGATGCTATGGCATGACCTTAAAAAGGCAGTTCATGCTAGAAAACCCTCAAATAAAGCTGAATTACAATAATTCTGCAAAGATGAGTGGGCCAACATTCCTCCAGAGAGCTGTAAAAGACTCGTAGCAAGTTATCGCAAACACTTTATTGCAGTTATTGCTGCTATGGGAGGCCCAACCAGTTATTAGGTTCAGGGGGCAATTACTTTTTCACACAGAGCAATGTAGGTTTGGATTTTGTTCTCTCCCTAAATCAGGGGTCGGCAACCTGTTCCCATCAAAGAGCCATTATTACCTGTTTCCCACAGTAAAGAAAACACCGGGAGCCAGAGCAGCCGCAGCGTTGTGGGCGGGGCCTACCCTCAGACAGCAGAGAGCTGCTTTAACCAATCACAACAGGGGACAGCAGCCGGTACCGGTCGCTCGTGTACGTCAAAGCTATCTTTCATAAGACGATAATCAATAAAACGATTTATATAAAATGGATCCAGAAGTTGTAGCCCGTCTCTGCCTACAATATTTTGATATTTTTCACCCTGTTGGTGGTTTTACTGAGCAGGTGCCACTTTTCTCATACGTTTCTTTTTAAAACATGTTTAGACTGTTCAGAATACAAATCCAGGCTCTGTCACGTTTGATTGTTGTAATTAAACTTTGTAGGTGGGGAAGGTCGGAAAAGGATACGATCATTTTGTTTCCCTCATTTCCAGCGACGGAGATAACAGCGCAGTGCGCCTGGCTCTGGTGTTAATCAAGTTTAATTTTATCTATTTGCAACAATTTTCACAAGAAAACAGAACAGTTAAAAGCATTGTGTTGACTGGATAGTTCCCGTATTTGACCGTTTATTTTGACGGAGAAAGAATAGAAAGAATTACCCCGACGCATGCAGACGAACTGACATTTTATTCGTTTCGCACAGATGTAGCTAAATCACTCAAGAAAAGATTCCCATCTGAACATCTGAGCTGGACACTGAGCTCAGTGCAGCTCACTGTCAGCGCGTACGTACGGTGCACAGCGAGCTGAAGATGTGGAGACTTGTCACTTAGAAAATGTTCCCTGATTATGAAACTTTGGCTGAATAGCGCTTGTTCCTGTCTCCAATGTGGCGACACATCCAGGAGCCGTCTGAGGAGAAGCCCAGAATCTCACATCCTCTTCAGCTCAGAATGCGCCTATGATTACGCACAAGCGTGACCCGTCAACCCGGTCTCACAGTAAGACCGGGTTGGACCTGTTCAGGTTTACGCAGACAATCTTTACATTTAGAATTGGCATACAGATGCAAAATTAATGCAGTAAAATATAAAGCATTTTATTTAAATATCCATTCATTATTTTACAAGCAGAGAGCCGCATCAGATGGATGGAAGAGCCGCATGCGGCTCCAGAGCCGCGGTTGCCGACCCCCGCCCTAAAAAATAAAAACCATCATTTCAAAACTGCATTTTGTGTTTACTTGTGTTATCTTTGACTAATGGTTAAACGTGTTTGATCAGAAACATTTTGTGTGACAAACATGCAAAAGAATAAGAAATCAGGAAGGGGGCAAAGAGTTTTTCACACCACTGTATGTTGAAAATAATCAGAGTTGTTTTACAAATGGGCCCACGGCACAAACAGCAGAGCCCTTCTCTACATGTCTTACTGTTGGTGAATTATTACATTCATTGTTTTTCTGTTCTGAACACTTCCTGGTCTCTCTGACCTTGTTGGCCACAGCGTTGACACTGGGCCGAGCGTCGTAGATGGTGAGCTTCTTAGTGGTGTCATTTGCCTCCCTGATCAGCTCCAGGTAGCGTTCGTCATCTTTGTTCCTTTTACCAGACATTCCCACCAGAGGCTGGCTGCAGCGAACAATCACTGCCTGGTTCTCCCGGTGGATCCATGACAGAACCTGGACCAGAGAAATGAGGTCAGAGTCCGGGTTTGGGGACCGGGTCAGGACTAGAGACGACCGTGATGTGTCCCCTTACTGGTATCCGTGATCTGGACCTGAAGGAAGCCACTCTCCTGAGGTCTTCATCTTTACATTTACAAGGCACAGTCAGCACGGTTGGGTATGTGTCACACAGATCATAATTCTTGTTGATGAAGGCAATACGCCACTTGTTGTTGGGTAAACCCTGAAGAAGAAAATAAAAACATTAGTGACAGACCACAACCTCCAACCACAAAATCAAGTCATCTGGACTAAGGTCTGATCAGGACTCGGTGTTCTTAGCTCTTTAATAACCATCCACATGGAACACCTAGATGAACTGGTAAACATGGTGGGTACCAGAAGAGTGGACGCACAGAGTAGTTCTTACCTGACGTCTGAACTCCTCTACAGGTTTGTAGATGTTCCAGCCACTTTCAGCATACTTCTCCTGAGTTACGTAAGCAAACAGAGGCTGGACCGATGGGGGAGAATGAGGAGAGAAAAAAAGAAGACAGAGGAACTGGGAATTAGTCCACAACCCGACAGTATCTTAACCCGTCTGGTCCAGTATGCCAGAGCGAGCTGTTAGCTTCTGATGTGTTCTAGTTTTGACCCACCTAAACTCGTTCTTCCTAATATGTCATAAAATATCATTTACATATGATTTAAATCCTCGTGAATATTAACTTTTATAGGACGACTACTTGAAGAGGCAGGTGCTCCAGATTTTAAAAAGGGAAGCAGAAAGAAACCGTTAAACCACATTTACAATCATTATCAGCTAAATTGCATCAAAGCTGAAACCTTTAACTGATAGAAACAACAATGGCATTGATAATTAAATCTTATCCTTATTTTTAATGTTTGATTTTTGTGTTTGTGAACATAAAGCTCCAGTTCTGTCTCTTGGGGCAAAAACGTTTTATGCAAGTTGTCCCACTTAAAAAGATGATAGAGGTTTGCAGTTTTCATCCTAAATGTACTTCACTTTTTAAGTATTCAGTTGTATAACGGTGCAGTAAATAAGAATTTGGTCAACGACAAAGTTCACCTAAATACTTTGTAATGAAATCTTGGTTGACAATGACAAAAGGTCAAATGTTTCCTGTAGGTCTTCACCAGTTTGCACACACTGTAGCTGGTATTTTGGCCCATTCTTAAATGCAGATCTTTACAGGTGAGATGTTTTGGGGCTGTCGCTAAACACAGACTTAACTCCCTCCACAGATTCTCTATTGGGTTGAGGTCTGGAGACAGGCCAAGTCATTCCAGAACTTTGAAATGCTTTTTACCTGAGTGGTGCTTTTAGGATCCTTGTCATGCTGGTAAAACCCCTGAACCTTCATCTTCAGTGCTCTCACTCACAGGCTTCATCCACCACTCTAAAACCTATAGTCTTAATATACAAGCAAGCAATAAAAATTATGGACCAGAAACCATTGAAATGGCATCATTGCCACATTTTAAGGAAACATAATCTTCTCACTTTTGAAAATTTTATTAATTTTAGCACTCTAAGATTCTTTTTCAATTGTCTAAATGATAAATTGTCTAAACTGTTCTCTATTGTGGCCATCAGACGTCGGAGCTCTCATAGAACGATCACTCGAGCCTCCACCTGCGGCGATTGTCTCGTCCCGCGGTGCAAGACTTCTTTTGGTCAGTCTGCTCTTTCTGTAAAGGGGGCCAAACTTTGGAACTCTCTACCTGCTGACCTAAAACTAGAAAAGGACAGTAACGTTTTTAACAAAGAACTCAAAAAATGGTTAAAGTCTAAACAACAATGTCTACATGAATAGTTTTAAAGTCTTGCATTGCTGCTCAAATTGCCTTGTTTTATTCTTTTTATTGTTTTTTATTGAAAACTGTTTGCAATTTTAATCTGTTTTCTCTTTGATTTATTGTTGATCTCTTTGTATTTTATTTAAATGTAGTCTACTTTTTAGAAAGGTTCTATGGACAAGTGTTGCAAATTAGCACGTGTGCTAACACACTAAACAATGCATCTGGTTCGTCCAATGTAATTGCTGTGTCCATGTCAAATAAACATCACTCACTCACTGATGGAAGGAGGTTTCTGCCCAAAACCTCACGATTCACAAGAGCCCATTCACCCTTTCCTATTGCAGATCAGTTGTCCTGCCCCCTAAAGCCTAATGCTTCTACCCCCATGCTCCACAGTGGGCATGGTGTTCTAGGGTAGCAACTCACCATATCTGACCACAAGAAATTCTACCAATCACCCTCTGGATCATTCAGATGGTCTCTGGCAAACTTTAGATGGGCCTGGATATGTTCTGGCTTAAAAAGGGGGACCTTTTGAGTGCTGCTGGATTTTTATCCATGATGACATAGTTTGTTAATGGAAACATGGAACGTTCCGATCATGTTTTTTTGCTCCCAATCCAACTCTGAGCCATTTGATTTAGAGTATCTGCTGATCCAGAGTCCCGACACGATACTTTTCAGGAAAGCATTAAAATAAGAAGAAAACACATCCAAGTTGTCCTTAAAGTTTCATTTTCACTTGTTTAGGAGAAACACTGATTAAAAACATGTTTATATTATGACTATATTTTAAAGTAGCCGTGTTGCTCTTATTTACAAGTTGTTTACTCCCTCACGTACCCCCAACTGAGCAATGCGTGTTCCAATGACGAAGCAGGGAGGTGGAGGCTCAGCCGACAGGCTAACTTTTCCCTGCATAACACCCACGGCACAGCTCTGGTGCTGCAAGAAACAACCTGACGTTTTGTAGTCTGTTGGCCATTTTTCTGTTTATTGGCATGTCTGTCTCTTTCGACTGGCTCTGCATTTTGTCTGAGTTTGCTGTGAACTGGGACTGTTGGTGGCAAACTGGGATTTAATAGAGACGAGTGATTTGCTCTGTTGACGTCCAAAGGGAAAGCAGAAGTGAAAGTAGTTTGTTTTAAAGGCAGAGAATCATGTCCTGTCCAGCATGTTGAATGCCCAGTATGCACACATTAGAAATGGCTGTAGCTCTGCCTTCGCTGTCTGGTTTAAAATACCACCAAGCTGCAGATAATTTGTGGTGTGTTCCAATTGTCTTCAGAACTTGTTTTTCTTAGATAAGTTAGCAATGAACTCAGAATTCTGAGCTGCGAGCTCATAGGGACCCCGAGATCCCAAGTTTAAAGATGGCTGCGCCCAGTGTTACCAGGAAGTAGTTATCGTATTTATTTTTTTTCTCATTTATATATTCTGTTTTCTTTCTTTTAGTTATTCAACAGCACCGGTAAGTTGTTTATAGTTGTTATCAATAGTTACATTATTGAAAATTTTAACACTGTTGCCAAACTTGATCGGCATTTATGGTTTTTACTTTTCCTGGTGTTCATCTTTTGACATTTGATTTGTAATGTTTTTCTCGTTATAAGTGGCAACTGTCGAACAGCGAGTGTGTCACTATCATTTAGATGCGGAGAATACTTGGTTACCGTATTTTCCGGACTATAAGCCGCTACTTTTCCCCCACGCTTTGAACCGTGCAGCTTATAACGAGGTGCGGCTTTACTGAAGAGTTTCCTTCACCTGCCACTAGGGGGCGCTTGAGCAGAAAGTAAAACAGGTGGAAGTCAAAAGTGGAAGTTGAAGAAAGTGCTCATTTTAATTTAGCACATGCAAGCAGCCAGCACGACGAAGAAATTTTTTCAAATCCATACCCCCTCATCATGTAACTACACGTATGAATTCATAAGATGCCGCATTTAAGTTGAAGGCCATCGATCTGGCAGTAAAGGAGCGAAACAGTGCTGCCGCACGTAAGCTTGGCATGAATGAATCCATGGTTCGGCGCTGGAGACGGCAGAACTCATTCAAGCCAGCTTCACCCGGGGACGATGACAGCAACACGGACAGCGACACTGACATCGCCACAGAAAAGGTATGTGACGAAGCTCTTCAACTCCGACACTGAAGAAGAGGACTTTAATGGCTTTAGTGCGCAAGAGGAAGATGAGAGCGAATGACTTCTTCTGGTAGGCACGTGTGTTTTATTTACTAACCAGGCATGTTTTGTGTGCAGTTTTTATTTTCTAATCATCCAGGGCTTATTAGTGCTGTGTCAGCGCTGTTCTTTTCTTCGCAACATGCATGCAAATTACCGGTAATAACGTGTCAGTTCTGTTTTTATTTAATAACCATCCAGAAATATGAATGCTATCAGTGCTCACCCGTGTTGAAAATTCATTTTGTTGAATAAAACAACAACGAAAAACCTCCGTGTAGCGTCTTTCTGTCTAATTATCTTATGTTATGGCCGTACATGCGCCGGAGACCTGCATGTGGCTGCTGCGCTGCGGGCTTGTATTTGAGTGCGATATAGTCCAGAAATTACGGTACATAATTCTTTTGGTTTAGTACTCAACAACACTTGTGCCATCCATTTTTTCAGAGTTTGAATCTGGAATGCAAAACAAGCCCGTTAGATCATTTCCTGTTTGGAAATTCAGAGTTCCGGGGACAACTGGAACGCACAATTAGCTCTCCTGAGGACACACGTTAGCTATGTGTTGGCCTGCTTGCTAACAGCTGCATCTTGGTGTCTGAAACCCTGGCTGACGTAAATTGTGTGACTTTACGGTGTTATTTTTGTACAAGAAACAGATATTGATGTAGAAGAACCTGTTGAAATTTAAACTAAGTCATTGTTATTCTATTTCAAAATCTACCTCATGATGAATTCAAAAAGTCATTAGTGGTTTCAAAAGCTTAAAACCAATTAAATTCTGCCAATGCCGATCCTTTTAAAATCGTGATCGGACCATCCCTATTGGAAATCTTTGTTACCTTTTTTGTCATGACTTGGTGCTTTATAAATAAACTGAATTGAATTGAATTTGATGATTTTCTTCCAACAAAGGTGACCACGTTGCTCCATTTTAATTTGAACAGTGACAAACCGTCTCAAAATGCTATAAAACAAATCTACAATAGATTCAGTTCTTTTGTGTCTAGATCCAGAGAGGTTGTCTACAGTCCTGTGGACATCTAGCCAAGTGAACTAGACCAAATTCTTGCTTTGCAAAGTTTAAATAATACATTTATTTAGTCTGGCTTGCCAGGCTAGTGGACATCAACCTTCTGAATAAGATGTCCAGCTGAGGTCACAGAAACATGAAGCTGCTTAATTGTTCATACAGACTTTAATTGTCTTTTTTTTTTAGGTACTTCTTTTGACACTTCTGAACATCTCATTCTGTTGGACTGTATACATCGCCCTGTTGGACTCAGAGACACTGATCTCAATTGCTTTAAATCCTCTCACCAACAGAAGAGAGATGATCATTATGGTTAGTGATCAATCAGTCTCATATGGTCACCTTTGGGGTTCCCCAGGTCTTAGTCCTGGGCCTAAGCCACATCTTCCACCATCATTAAATCTCATTCCGCATTTGTGCGGAAGAGACTTGACAACTACAGCTGCAGGCCAGACTTCAGCATACTTTTTCTTCATCTTCAACATCATTACCTTCATTTGTCAGTAACTGGATGTATGGGAGAAGAATAATTTGCTTAAACTAAATGGATCTTAGGTGCCCTACCTCATTATCATTATGTATGTGTAGATGTAACAGTAAGATATCAGGTGGTGGTGTCTTACCAGACCATGAGAGAGAGGAAAGGCATGTCTGAAGAGCAAGTCAAAGATCCCTCTTCTACTGTGGCCTTCCTGTTTCAGGGCAAACCTCAGGTTTCTCATGTCCTAGAGACACACAGATCCAGAACGGTGACAAATACAGTCTGATTTAACAGTAGAAGTCAGAGTTTGAACAGACTGTGGAGGGAAAGGGAGATTCATCAGATCCTATTCACATATGGAAGTGTTTTATAAGTAAAACGGTTATAACACCAATACCTACCATTCGTATTAGTACAAGTAGTCCCAACCCACCATTCCTAGATTTTTCTATAAACCACTCTATTGCAGTCAGTCTATCTACACCAGAGAACTATACAGGAATCCATCCTCCCTTTCCCACTTCATTTAGTGGGCTGACTGGAATAGAAACCACATTAAATGATCTAGGTCTGTTCAAAGGTCTGCAAGAACATATGGCATGAGGTGAATCCAGTGGTACTCCTGGGTTTCAAGACAACATTTATGTGATAATCATTATTGGATCAGATGAAGAACTCCCCAGAGGGGGCAGAGTAAAAGAAGCGAAAGCTTATTTCATGTTTCTAACCAGGATGTCTGAAGTCTTGCCCCTGGTCAGATCCAGGTTGGATGGAGTATGTCCTTGTTCTTGGCAAAGCTGGTCCAAGTAAATTGACATAAACCACATTATCCTCCCAATGACACCCACCGAGAACAAACAGAAATATGCTACAAAGATCAGCGTATACTGTACATTAGAGGTTTGCTGATGCTGGTGGTTCGGGTTACTGGGAAATTTTAGTTTGTGCTGACACATAAACATTAGTTTAATCTTCAAACACAACAAAATACACTCGATAGAAGATATAAAGAGTGTGTGATAGTCAATAGATGACCATTGTTTAAACTATTTGTTTCTGACAGCAGGAACTGGTAGAACAGCACTGTGTCTACGTGTCATGCTTCAACATGATTATTCATCCTAAGAAAAACAGAATAGCTCAGTTGTTGTGGGCTGGTATTTTATTTTACGATCCTCATATTAACTTCTATTATGTCTTAAGTCGGTGTTCTTCCAAGCACCATCTGAGCTTTAGAGCATCATCAGTTGCTCCCTTATGAAACTTCCAGTTTTCGTGTAGATTCAAGTCACATGACTTGGACTTGAGCCATTAACTTTATGACTTTTAGACTTGACTTGAAATAATGTTCAAATCTCAGGTGGATGGTAAACAGAGGTCTGCTCCATCATACATCAGTGACCTGATTGTTCCATCTGTTCCTAACTGAGCACTTCGCTCTTAGACTGCAGGTTTACTGGTGGTTCCCAGAATAAAATAGGATGGGAGGCAGATCTTTTAGTTATCAGGCTCCTTTCCTGTGGAACCAGCTCCCAGCTTTAATCCGTGAGGCAGACACCTTGTCTACTTTTAAGACCAGGCTTAAAACATTTTTATTTGATAGGGCCTATGGTTAAAATCTGATGTTAGCCCAGTTCTGGACAAGTGGGGGAGTAGAGGGAGGTGGAGTGTACAGTCGGTAACGACGGCTCTCCCTTGCCCTGCCTCCAACATGCCTCCATCTAAAAGGCTAGGTTATCCAGAGTTATCTCTGTAGTTATGCTGCTATAGGCTTAGACTGCTGGAGGACACACTGACCACTTTCCACACTCAACTACTTTGTTCTACAATCTGCTCTTTAACTGTATTATTTCCTGCTATTTCAGCTGTTAACTTTATTTTTTCTCTAAGTGTTTTTCTCCCCAGAAGAAGCTACAATGATTTTCTGCTGAGCTGTGGTGGCCTCATGGAGGGGGCCATCGGCTAGCACACTGCTGCTAACCACTTAAACTTTCTCCCTCTCCTGATAATAACATTTTACTTTCTTTGACATTGAATGTGCTACTACTAGTTTACCCATTTAATTATAGATCCACTAGGATAAATACAATAAAGTTTATCTCTCACCAAACAGAGTATTTACTAATAAATCACAATGTAACCATAGAAACATTACTTGGTTTTGTGTGTGTGTGTGTGTGTGTGTGTGTGTGTGTGTGTGTGTGTGTGTGTGCGTGCGTGCGTGTGTGTGTGTGTGTCTGCTCTGTCTTCTCCATCCCCAGTGAGTCGTGGTGGATGGCTGCTTATACTGAGCCAGTATCCTCTGGAGGTTTCTTCCTGTTAAAAGGGAGTTTTCCTCTCCACTGTCGCTGCATGCTTGCTTAGTATGAGGATTGCTGTATTGGAATGTTTACTATGTGAAGTGCCTTGGGACGACACTTGTCGTGATTTGGCGCTGTATAAAAAAACTTGAATTGAATGAAATTGAATTGTTTCAGAACGTAGGTTTTTTCATTGATGTTTCCAGCAGACAGAAATTTAAGCGAAGTGCAACAATTGGGCAAACAGTTTTCATAGGATGTCTGAATATGAACTTGGTGCTGTTTAGTTGTTGACCATCAATGTTTATACAGACATGATGGTCGATCATGAGACATGAATCATCTTAGCCATAGTTGAGCTGAAAGAAAAACAAGATGCACTTGACTGGGACTTAACTCGAAACTTGCCTGTTGTGACTTGAGACTTGAATCAGGACTTCAGGATAATGACATGGGATTTGCAAAACAATGACGTGGCCCCACCTGTGGAATCTAGTTTCTCAGTTTGCATCCAAGCCCCGGAGTGTCTCTGAGTTTATTGTAGTTGTGAATGAACTCGTGTGTTATGTGAAGGGCTGGCTGGCATCCAACTTCTTAAAGTTAAATGAAAACAAGTCTGATTATATTGTTTTTGACCCCCACGACCACCATGGCTCTCACCCTGTTTGTGACCTTTTAACCCTCAACCCCAAACAGTGTGTGACAAGTCTCGGGGTCAAGCTGGATGCTGGACTCACAATGGCCCCACAGATAAACTCCGTAGTGAGGTCTTGCTTTTATCAGCTTCGCCGCCTTACTCGCCTCAGACGAATCCTGAAACGGAGGCATTTGGAGTCAGTCATCCATGCCTTCATTACCTCTCGCTTGGACTACGCAAACGCCCTCCTAGTTGGTGTTCCGGTCTCTGCCCTGAATCGGCTGCAGGTCGTCCAAAACGCTGCTGCCAGGTTCTTGACGAGTACACACCGATGTAGCCATATTACCCCTGTCCTGGTAGACCTTCACTGGCTCCCTGTTATTTTCAGAGTACAGTTTGTTATTGACCTTTGTATTTAAAGCACTCAACGACCTGGCACCTCCCTATCTCTCTGACCTGCTCACTCCATATGAACCCACGCGCACGTTGAGGTCGGCTGCTGCTGTGTACGCCCCGGATGCGATACAAATCACGGGGTGAACGAAAATTTGTCCATGCTGCCCCAAAGCTATGGAACTCATTGCCCATTGGAGTTCGGCAGGCTCCATCACTGATGGTTTTTAAATCTCGTTTAAAGACCCACTTTTACGATTTGGCTTTTAGACAGTGACTCGTTTTAGTGTTTTATTGTGTTATTGTTTTAATGTGTTCTTAGTATTCATCATGTTTTATCTGCTTTTGATTGGGATTTTTATCCTCTGTTTTAGTTCCTTAGAATGGTCGCATTTTGTTTCAGCCTGTGCAGACACTTTGGGCAGCTCCCATGCTGCGTTTTAAACGTGCTATATAAATAAACCATGGTATGGTATGGTTATGCCTGAGCCTCATCCTCTCCCCAGAACACTCTGCATTCATTCATAACAGCAGTGTGTGTAGTCCAATTACACAGATTTAATTTCATTTTCATTTTTTCATTTATTTCATTCAATCAATCAAATAAAAGTTACATTAAAACAATTCACATTCACAAATAATCATAAATGAAAAGGAGCAGAAAGAAGCAAAAACTTATATCTGCCTCCTTTTCACATCAAGACATTAGCTGTTCAACTCAAAGCCTGTCGTTCACCTACCCCCCACCCCAACACAAAACAAATCTATCAGCCTACTTAAGGTCTTATTATGTCATCATGATAAGTTTGGCACTTTTTTTAAATACAGAAAATGATTTAGATTGTTTTATTTCACTGTTGAGACTATTCCATACATAGACACCTTTAACTGTGATGCATCTTTCCATTATCGCTGTTAGACTCTTGGGTTTTTAAAAATATGAGTTCCTTTTAGATTATAATTACTTTCTCTTTTTACAAATTTCTTTTGAATATTTATTGGTAGAACTCCTTTATGTGCTTTGCACATAAGTTTTAATAAATGATATTCTACTAGTTTGTCCAATTTCATTAGGTCTAATAACTCTCACATCTCTTTTCTGTTAAAGAAAAACTGAATGTGTTTATGTTTTCCAGGTACTTCCCCATATGTCGGATATGGAAGAATTAACGAGTTATACAGAATATACAAAGCTTTTATGTTCAACAATTCCTTTGTCTTATTTAGTACTGCAATAGCTCGAGATATTTTAATTTTAATAGCGTTTATATGAGACTTCCACGATAAATGTTCATCAATAATAACACCTAAAAACTTAACTTCTTTTACTCTTTCTATCTCCATTCCTTCAACATTTAATGATACATCAGCACATTTTTACTACTACAAAAAACTATAAACTTAGTTTTATCGATGTTTAAAGAAAGCCTATTGATATCAAACCATATTTGAATTTTTGTAAATTCTTTTTCAACTACATTTAAAACATCTTTTATATTTTCTCCTGAATAAAATAAGGTAGTGCTTGTTGACACGAGTATGACCAGTTTTTCACTGTGCAGCTGTAACTGCACTGAGTCTACACACACCGTCCTTAAGCACATTGTGTCGATAACAGAAAAACAGCATTTCCGCGTGTAATGTTCCTCTACCTGAGTCAGACGTTCTCTAGGGTTGCTCTTCCTTCCTGTGTTTATAGATGTTATTTTGGGTTGTGAAGTAAAATGAATCACATAAGCTGTGAGAATTTATGGTAGGTAGGACCCAAGGGTAAAACCAGCAGGTACAACAGGATCAGGAGCTGACAGAGGGGCTTGTGGGTGGATACTTTTATTATTAGTTAAACCATCTGGAAAAGGATGGCTTGCCAATTCTGGGTCAGGACAGGGTTCCTGCCTCAAGTGTAGGAGTTGAAGCAGCTCCTTCGCAACGAGAGGAGTCAGCTGAGGTGGTTCGAGCATCTTGACAGGATGCCGCCCGGACGCCTTCCTGGGGTGGTGTTTTGGGCATGTCCTGCTGGCAGGAGGCCCACGGGTTGTCCAGGGACACGTTGGAGCAAGTACATCTCCAATCTGGCATGGGAACGCCTTGGGGTCCTGCTGGAGGAGCTGGTGGAGGTGGCCGGGGAGTTGGCTGTCTGGGATGCCCTAACTGAGACGCTAACCCCGTGACCCAAACCCGGGTAAGTGCAGGAAAACAAACAAACAACCAGTTGAAATCTAACATCTAAACCTGGTAATACAGTTCCTCCAATGTCAGCTGATCTCTGAGATGCTTCAGACCCGTACAGGACACCAGGGACGCCGTTACCGAGGTGATGGTATAATCAGGACCCAGAGACCACAAACAGGTTTATTTATTAAAGCTAGGTCTCACCCAAATCCAACAGAACCCTTTCTCTCACACGTAGCAGTTTGGGCCTAGAGTGAAAACAGCTTGTAGACACACTGAACATTAGCTCTGGTCCAGTTACTCCACAAGCCTCATTAGGACAGACACACTTTAGGACATCTGACAGCTGCTCCACCTCACACACAATAACAAACTCCTCTCCAGTGTCAAAAGTAAAGTTGATACCTTATCTATATTCCTGTCTTTAATAATTCAACAGAGGTTGATGAACAGCTCCAGCTGACAGCAGGGCTGGAGGTTCTGGCAGGAAATGCAGCTCATACAGGGTCTAAAGTTATCTGTGTCCTCTCTGAAACAGTGTTCCATATTTAACCAAATAAATCTCTCAGAGACGCATCACTGTTTACTAAAAGAAGTTCTGTCACACATTCATAACCTTTTAGCTGCCATGTTTTGTGGTGAGACAGTAATCATTTCAAACACTTCTGTGTCTGAGGAAGTGGACATGTTCATATCAGCTGCAGCTGTGTGACACCTCATCATGAACCGACATCATGCTGCTCTAATCTGTGGACGATATCTGGATTCTCAAACGTCACTTTTGGTTTTATAACCAGAGCCACAGCTAGCATCCCGGGGCTCTTCCCGTTTCCTCTGCTGACAGTTCTGACTCTAGGAAAAAAAAACAATTCTACTACGTCAGCACCAACCATTCAACGGGTCAAAGGAAAGAACTGCCTCCATCAGGAGCTAGAGGTGAGCTACAGGAGACCAATAACCAATTAAAATGTTGTGAGCTTCATGTTTAAAATCTCTAATTTTATTTCAATTTCTCTTTAGGTCAAAATCCTCCATCAATGTGAAATGGTCAGATTAGAGGAATATTTAACGATGTGTGTTTAATCGCCAGTCATGTCATTAACTCATTCACTGCCAATGACGACTAAAGTCATCATTTGCATTTTTTTACAATGTGGGCATCGTAACGAGCCCCCGCACCGTGAGAACAAACATCTCAGCTCTAAAGCTGGTCTTCATCCGCATACGTCACATGATCAGGAAGCAGAACATCCATGTGTTAAGACAGGGGTCGGTAATCTACGGCTCTTTCATCCATCTGATGCGGCTCTCTGCTTGTAAACTAATTAATGAATATTTAATGACAATGTATTTTATTTTACTGCATTCGTTTTTCATCTGTAGCCAATTCTAAATTTAAAGATCATCTGCGTAAACCTGAACAGGTCACCTGCTTGTGCGTAATCAGATGTCTCTATAGGAGCTTTCTGAGCTGAAGAGGATGTGAGATGCTGGACTGTTCCTCAGACAGGCTCATGGATGTGTCACAGTGTTGGAGACAGGATCAAGCGCTATTCAGCCAAAGATTCATAATCAGGGAACATCTTTTAAGTGACAAGTCTCTGAGAGACCGGGTTTAGAACACACAGAATCTTCCTGCATGGTTCTGGTTCTGTGACGCTCTCCAAGCCCCCAATCTATCTTCAGCTCGCTGTCCACCTCACTCATGCGCTGACAGTGAGCCGCGCTGAGCTCAGTGTCCATCTCAGATGTTCTGATGGGAATATTTTCCTGATTGATGTAGCTACCTCCACGATGTGCGTAACGATTAAAATGTCAGCGCATCTGCAGGCTTGAGATTTCTTCGTCAAAATAAACAATCAAATACGGGAAATATCCTGTCAGTGCGAACCCTGCCATTTAACTGTTTTACCTTCTTGTGATGATTGTTACAAACAGAAACATTAAACTTGATTAACACCAGAGCCACGCACACTGCGCCGTAATTTCCGTCAGTGTAAACGAGGAAAAAACACTAACTGACTGGACTGGACCCATGTGTTAGGAGATCGTTTTGGGCCGCTGCTGTAAAAAAAAAAGTGCGTCGCGAACTGGAAAAACGTCTGCCGATCACAATTCAACAACGAATTATGAGAGAACGGATAACGCTCGAAATGAGCGGATTCTTCCTGATGTAAGAGGTGAGTCTCCTCTTTGTTTTGGTTGTTTTGGCGTTGACATCATCCTAGCGTGCAACGTCCTGTGACTCTTAAAAAACAGTAAAAACGGTGAGAAACGCTGGCAGCGAATGAGTTAAAGTGGGTTATCCATCCATCCAATAAAACTGTTATTCTGACTTCTGAACTAGTAAGTAATCTATTGGAGTGCCTCCTTTTACACACATGCATAGTGATTAAATAATTTAAACAACAATGTGTTTTGTGCGAGTAATCTGGTTTCCTCCTCACTTGCAGCTGTTTGATCTAACATTCATGAGTGCAGAGTCAGCATATTTCCCGAATCCATGCATGGGTTTTATTGGGTTCTCCATTTCCTCCCACATACCAAAACCATGCATGTTAGGTTGACTGAAGACTCTAAATAGTCTCTAGGTGTGAGTGAGTGTGTCTCTGTGTGTACAGGTGGACACCATCAAGGAGCGAGTGGATGGATCAGCACGGATTGGGATAGATTAATTACACCATTATTGGATCTAGAGGGGTTGTAGGCCAACAGAACACTAAAGCATAGAGGAAATTATCTCTGTCTGTCCCCAAAACAATTATTATCTGAATCTGGTGCCCTTGGAGCCTGTGAGGCTGAAGTGATAGCTCCCCCATCAGAAGAAATGTGGAATGCTGCCGTCGCTATGGAAACTCTCCCTATCCCAGCCTGGGCGGGACTGTGACCGGTGAAGGCCATGGAACCGTATCTAGGAGTCAATGTGCCCTCTAACCCATTATCTCCCTCCCCTGTCCAAACGGAGGTGATGAACGCTGCCCCAAGTGGCTGCAAGCACTGACGTGAGGAGAGTCCCAACCCTACCGCCCCACCTAGTGGACACTTATGTTGTGTAATGTCTGAAGTCTGTGAGCGTATCTGTCTGAGGTGTTTTTTTTTTTGCATAGCAAAGCTACCCTCTCTGTGGAGGATAACTCTGAAGTGCCTTTTTTTTCCCTTCCCCTGACTCTATCCTCATATAAACCCTCTTGATCTATTACGGTAGCGCGACTCGGGTTGCGAATGACCACAGTCACCAATTCTTGTCATGTGTCATGTATGTCTGATCTCAGAATTGTGTGTACTGAAACTCTAATTTCCGTCTGGGAGTAATAAAGTATCTTTGAATTGAATTGAATGAATAAATAAAAGCAAAATGTCCCCTAGAAGGTAGATGATATTCAATGGAATACAAACACAAAGCAGTAAGGAGCTTTTTAACAAACACAGAAGACTGAAGATGGAACAGAACCTTGTGAGATTCTGATATAGGCATCCAAAACTCAGAAGGTCCTAACAGAAACACCCCCCCCCCCCCCCCACACACACACACACACACACACACACACACCTTGCAGGTGATATCCAGGCCATAAGAGTTTTCTCCTCTGCTTGAAGCTCCGCCCATCTTCTCCACTCGACTGACAGTTCCTAGAGGAACGTCCAGTGTCATCGTTATATCCTACAAGACACACAACAACAATCAACAAAGATCTACACAACACAGTTATTAGGTATGATATCAGGTGGAACATCATGTCAGTAGCTGTGGAGACTCTTGATTCCCCTTCAGGTTTGACTCTTCTCTCAGCACCCCTTGATCAATCAGAGCTTCACCCTCATGATTAGTGAAAACTGGCTGTAGGTGTCCTGCTCTCCTGGGTCGCTCATGTTAAACAGGAGCAGCTATCAGATGACTGTGAAAAGTTAGGAACTAAACGTTGAGGAAGAGCTCGAGTAGTTTAATAACAATCTCCTCATATATGTGACATGATGAACCTGTTGGTGCCAAGTGGACCTCAGGTATCAGCTGACTTTTATCAGTTCTCTTTTGAAAACCTCCTGACACCTAAAATAGCTGATTGCTGACTGGCAGCAGCAGGAAACTGGAACTGAGACGGCAGGCAGTGGACGTTAGTGTAGTTTCAGTCTCAGTGGGACTGAAGTGACAAACTCCTGAAGGAGACTGGAAGAGCCCCGGGCCACAGATCCTGTGTGTCTACGATTCAGCTGCTGGTGAACTTACATCGGAGCTCTTGAAGTAGAGTCTGTAGTTAGTGAGCAAAATTTTTCCCTTCAATGCCCCGCTGAACGGACAAATGTAAAGGATGTCTAGTCCTGAAAACAGACACAGAACAGATACATATCAACTAGAATTCAACTTCCTGAACTGACGGTACAGAATAAATTCCTGTTTTCACTCTAAGACACACAGGGAAGTGAGAGTGGCGATACATCTAAATCAACACTCTGGCTGGTTCAGAACAACACACTGAGTACAAAGCTAAATATGATGTGTGATGAAGTCACTGGAGTCCAATGAGGTGAGGAATTATGGAGCTAGGATTGGGACAATATTCAGTGTAACTTGTACCAAGTTTTGTAACTTGGAACATGTTTCATGACATGTAACTTTGGATTCATAGCTTGTAACTTTAGTTTTCTAACTCGTAATTCTCAATTTGTACTTGTATTTCTTGTTTTGTAACAGGAACATTGTATTTTGTACATGTATTTTTTATTTTGTAAAATCAAACTTTTATTTTGTACATTTACTACTCATTTTGTAACATCAAACATTCATTCAGAAACATGAAACTTTTGGTTTTTACCTAGCAGACTTACAAAATAAAAAAATCAATGTACATGTTTGAAATCAAAACTTTCTACAGGTACAAACTATCTACAGTGTTACAAATAATTTTGTCTCAATTCTAGCTTTGGTGGGAGGAACTTGGGTGGAACCAATGACAGCACAAGTCTTAGCTGCCAATCACATTTCTCGAATTCCTGTCCAATCATTGGGAGAGGAGGGCAGGGTTCTGTCAGAGCTGTAGAGAGAGTTACGACACTCCAATACACTCCTATGGAAAGAATGGAATGCGGGAGTCACGTGGTTCATGTAGCTTCGAATAGTTCCAAACAGCCCCGCTGCTGCACTGACCGTAATTCACTTTCGGTGTTTCGGAAGGATTTTCTCTGGTAAGTTGATGAAATGTCATCATTTTGTTTCATTGTGAAGCGTTAGCTAACCGCGTCGTACCAAAATAAGCCAACGATGATATTTTATGTTGCCAGTTTTAGCTAGATAACCTGTAATGAGCTAATTGTGTGCAGCTTGTTGGTTGTGAGCAGGAGGACAAGCTGTAGACGGGTTTACTTCAGTTTGTTTGATTCTACGTTTTAAAAATATTCCCTGCAGTTTGAAATAGGTTATAAACTTTTTACATTATTAGTTTTATTTGGGATTTTTTGCACAATACGTTGCTGGTTGCTGTATCAACACGAACATGCATCAGAAATGGAAGCACAAATGGAGAGACCAATAATAAAGAAAATGTGATTGTGAAGACAAGTAATTATTTAATATTTTTCAGTTAATAACACTGACTGCAACGAACTGCTGAAGCATGAGACAAACAGGATTACGAACGTAAGAAGATATGTTGTTCTGTTTTGTGTACTCAAGTAATAAGAATAGAATTAAGATAATTCAAGAATAGTAGTCGAACACAATTGTTATTGTGATCTCTGGTCATGGTGAGGTTGCTCCTGCTGACTTGAGCCAACCATTTTCTTCTCTCTGCGTCTTTGGGGAAGCCATAATTCTGATTCCTCTCTCAGACTGATTGCTATATGCAGCGCAGCCAACCATGTAAGATAATCAACCTGTAAAGGGATTATTAAAATACTATTTTTGTACATATAGAAATATTGAACAGAACCAAAAATATAGAGATGTAAAATTACATTTCAAAATTTTATCCAACCCTAAAATTAGTCATTTCAAATGTTAACCCACTGACAAATTTTATTTGAATAATAATCAAAAATAAAGTTATTCAAAAGAGTTTGATTAGGTCTTGAGTACATTGCTCAAATTTATTGATTCAGCTTGTTTGTGCATATGTAATGACTAAACATAATGTTGGTAAAATGCTTTATTAAAAATGCTATTATACATGTTGTACAAGTTTGGAGTTCATTTTTTTCACAAATAACACTTTTTTATCTACTATGCTTGACCATACAGTTTTATTGAAAATTTCTTTTTAATTAGTTGCTATAGAAGCCAGATAAACTGGGTTATAGATGCATGTACTGTCTTCACATAAAAATATAAAGTAATGACTGTAAAATGTATTCTACTGAACATAATAGATCATCATTCAAAGCATAAACAGCTACATGTTTTCTTCAAGGTAAGCTGGAGCAGAATTCTAGCTTCCAATAAACACTTTAAAATGGATATTACAAATCGAGTTTAGGGCTTCTTGTAGGACTTAAAGTTATTAAATATACTTATATTAGAGCAGTGTGTTGCATTACTACATCAAATGTATTGCTATAATATATTATAGTGTGTGCTCTAAATGTGTTCTACAGTGTGTTAGGACTGTCGTGTTCCTGTAATGTAGAACAGTCACGGGTGTTTGTCTTCCCACAAATGCTCGGAAAAATATAAATAGGCTACTTTGTGAAGGAATTACAACATAATATATATATAATAAATAATATTATTCAATAATTACCACAAATCGCCAGGGGAAATGTGATTATATTAAATTTTTGTGATTTGTCCCACCATACGCCGTTCAAACGGACTTACGGCGCTGTGGGATGTTTGGAACTGAGAGCTCCGTGAACCACGTGACCGAGAGTCGGCGAGTTCAAAGAGTGTCGTAACTCTCTCTCTCTACAGCTCTGACAGAACCCTGCCCTCCTCTCCCAATGATTGGACAGGAATTCGAGAAACGTGATTGGTAGCTAAGACTCGTGCTCTCATTGGTTCCACCCAAGTTCCTCCCACTGACGCTAGAATTGAGACAAAATTATTTGTAACACTGTAGATTTGAGGTTTGTACTTGTAGAATGAAATGTGTGTTTTGAGAGTTTTGATTTCAAACATGTACCATGATTTTTTTATTTTGGAAGTCTGCTAGTTGCAAAACGAAAGTTTCATGTTTCTGAATGAATGTTTGATGTTACAAAATGAGTAGTAAATGTACAAAATAAAAGTTTGATTTTACAAAACAAAAAATACATGTACAAAATGAAATTTTCCTGTTACAAAACACGAAATACAAGTACAAATTGAGAATTACATAATTAGAAAACTAAAGTTACAAGCTATGAATCCAAAGTTACATGTCATGAAACATGTTCCAAGTTACCAAACTTGGTACAAGTTACATTGAATATTGTCCCAATCCTAGCTCCATAAAGAATGGGGATCCCGCTGACAGAAAGCGGTTATTTATACTCGCCTGTAACTGTGTCCTCTCCTGGTAGCAGAGACACATCTAAGGAAAAGTCCATCTTTAGAGAATCTCTGGTGGTCTAAAAAACACAGCAAAGGTCTTACTGATGGATTCTGATACTTTTACATTTAGAGTTTCAACACAAAGGCTTTAAACACCAAAAATATAAGAGGACAAAAAAGAACACTGAACTTGTAACGTTTTTGTTTCAGTACAGAAAAGAAAACAAGTCACCGCTCTATCACACAGAGCTAGGTTAACATCTGAGCCACTCTGATTCAGACCTCAGCTTGGCCCCGTAGGACGTCTGAGACTAAAAGTGGATTTTAACTCCAAATAATATATTTCTGAAGAACATTCATCTTTGTCTGAAGCCAGCAGAGACACTGATCCAGGTTTGGATTGCTTACAGAGCATGACGCTCTTCTATCTGCTGTTGCTCAGAAAACAGTACTCAGTATGTGGGATTAATTCTGGAGCATCAAGAAGCTTTTTTAAAACACTTTTACTTCTGAAGCATCAATAGACCCAACATCTTCTCTGAGGGACCTCTTTAACAGGATTTTAAGAGCAACCATGTTGGTCTTGCTCACCAGTGAGGTGGTTTTTTATAAATAACCGGTTCCCCGACATGCTTTAAATTAGTAGAAATATTAAAGGTAAAATGTCAGTTTAATACGCAAACAGACCAAACCAGCTTACAGTAGAGATGTGAGAGTCCAAAGTGCTAGAGTTGTAGCCTGAGACTGGTGAGGCCATCGCTCAGAGAGGGACAGGCTGAGGAGTAAAAACACCAAGTGTGAAAAGGTCTGAGTGAACATCACCAAAGATGCTCTCTGAATCAACACTAGAAGCTTCCTTAGTGAAGGTATGAGTTAAACAGCACTCAAAACATTAGGACAGAAACATGTAACAGGAAATGTCCAAACACGGGCAACAACAGAACCCCAACGAGGCTGGTGGAGGAATCAGAAGCCACACTGGCCAAAGCAAAAGCGTTTCCAGCCAGAAAAGACTAAGGCCCTGTCCACACGTAGCCGGGGATCTGCCAAAACGTAGATATTTTTCTACGTTTTGGCCTGTCATCCACACGAAAACGGAGTTTTTTTTCACACGAAAATGGATCTTTTTAAAAACTCCGGCCAAAGTGAAGATCTGCGTTTTCTCCGTTTTGGGTGTCTGCGTGTGGACGGACAAAACCGGGGTTTTAAGGTTCGCAACATCACTTTCCGCGACAAATAATGCTGACATCACGTGTGCGACCTGTGTTTACACTAGCCGACAGCATGGATGCCCTCAGAGCTGCGCTCTTAACAACGTATTTATCCGGGTACGTGTGGACAGTTTTTTTTTAAACGAGGTGGTGTGGATGCAAGTTTTTGGAGGGGCGGATATTCGTTATAAAAAAACCCAGCTACGTGTGGACTAGACCTAAGACCATCACTAAACAGATTCTAAAAAGGTTCCAGTGGTCTGAAGTCTTTATGGGCTGTGGATGACCAGATGAGGATGGCTGCATAAAGTCTGCGATTATTTAGGGTTACATGGCAGGATCCAGAAGGCTGGACTCGTGGCATGACGTCTGACTGGGCTTTGTTTGTGAAGGTTGCATCTCTGAGAATTCCCCAGAGAGAAAGACCAGAAGAGTTTAGTATTCCTTACACTTTTCACTCAAAATGATGCAAACATTTTAAAAAATATTCCTTTTGTTGTCCACAAAAACAAAACCATCAAGGCAAGGCAGCTTTTTGGCAAATTTCACATATAAAGGCAATTCAACGTGCTTCAATGCAACTTCAGCTGTTTGGCACATAAGTAATAAATAATTAAATAAAGCATATTTTAAAGTGATATCTCAGACTTATGTTAAAAGAACCCTGACCTGAGTAGTGCTGGTTACTTAGTTCTTCAGATGCAATGAGACAGTAAATATAAGACAAGTGTGAATAAGGGTTGTGTTGGAGGTACCCTGTACAACAGCTTCAGAGCACAAATGATCCAAATACGGTTAAAGACCAATTTACTAATTTTTTCAACACATTTGCAGTGATCTACTCTAGTCTCTACTACAAATCAATGCCTTGCGAGTCAATCTCCGTGGGAAAAAAGGTTCTGGCACTCGTATTTCAGGAAGTAGAAGTGAGCCACAGGGTTTAACAGAACACGGCAGGATTGGGAGACTTATTTCCTGATATCTGGACATCTTGTCTCCGATTGACTAACAGCAACACAACTCTACCACTGACTCTGTTTGCTTTACAACAATGATATAAAATCTCCACAAATGTTTTCTTTTTCTTTTTCTTCCGGCTCTTGGAGGGTGCAGACGCTTTTTTCCTTCTCTCCTCCATATCTTATCCTCAAGGCCTTTGTCTGTCTCTGTGTGCTGGGTGCACGGCTGCTTCTGCATTTTTCTGGAAACTGAATTTCACTAAAATGGATCTCGTCAGTTGGTCACTCAACGCGATTGATAAAATTTTTTCAACGATGAGAACAGGAGAAGAGGCTCCCGGATGCCCCGCCGGGACAGACCCAGTTGGACACATCATGGACTCCTGGAAACAGCAGAACTTGATTTGTCTATCTCAGCTGTCTGTGGAGGACTCTGAAGATGTGTGGATATTTGTGGTGTTGGTGTCAGGTTTCCTGCTCATTGGCCTTGGAGGCTACCTGGCTTACTGGAAAATTAATGAGCTGTCGAGGAATACTGGCCTGGTCCCGGAGCTCAGAGATGGTTTGCACCACGCTGTGAATTCACAGACTCACATAATTGTCGAGATGAATCGTAAGCTTGGGACTTTGGCCGAGATTCGTTCATTGGCACAAAAGATGGATCAAGGAGAGAGTGGACGAATCAGCACGGATTGGGATAGATTAATGTCCATTATTGGGATTTTGAGAGGTTGAGGACCAACAAACTGTAAGACAGAGAGGAAATTATCTCTGTCTGGCCCCAAAACAATTTATAATCTGAATCTGGCGTCCTTGAGCCAGCAAGGCTCCAACGAACCCCCCACCCCACCCCCCACCCCCCCACCCCCCCAGAAGATAGGTGGAATGTGCCGTCGCTATGGCAACTCAACTCTGTCTCCTTTCCCAGCCTGGGCGGGATTGCAGGAAGGCCGCTGAAACGTTCCAGGGCCACTGCAACCCTCCAACCCTCAATGCTCCTCCCCCTATCCACACTGAGGTGACATGCGCTGCTTATCGTGGCTGCAGGAACTGAAGTGGGGATACTCCCAACCCACCACTCCACCTAGTGGACACTTATGTTGTGTTGTCTGAAGTCTGTTGCATATCTGTCTGAGGTGCTTTTTTGCAAAGCAAAGCTGCCCTCCTGGTGAAGGGTAGCTCTGAAGTGCCTTTTTTCCCTCCACCTGAACCAATCCTCATGTAACCATCTTATTTCTATTAAGGTAGCGTGACTCGGGTTGCGAATGACCACAGTCACCAATTCTTGTCATGTGTCTTGCCCATGTATGTCTGATCTCTGAATTGTGTGTACTGAAACTCTAATTTCCCTCTGGGATTAATAAAGTATATTTGATTGATTGATTGATAAGACAAGCCTGGAGGAGTTCTGTCGTGTGATGGAGTTGCTAAGCTTCTACTAGCCAAGATGTGCTCTGCACTCTTCTGGACATTAAATCAAACAGTCTTCCCCATAATGAGCCAAGATGGGTGAGTCCATGAATGTTAATTTGACATTATGACATGCTAACGTCACTGGCTCTTCTTATCAGAGTGTCCCGTCCATTTTCTATCTGCAGCTCGTGCAGGAAATAGGGGTACAAGACCATTTTCACATTAAGCCTAGGCAACTACTGTCATATAGCAGACTTGGTTGACCAGTGGTTAGAGTGCTGGGCTGGCATGTAGAACCGGGTCAGAACCAAAAAGGGGGAAGCTGCTTTTAGCTACTATGCTGCACACAGATGGAATCGTCTTCCTCATGACCTCAAATCTGCCCCAACTCTAGTAACCTCTAAATCAAATTTGAAAATCTTCATGTTTTCATCAGCCTTTGAATAAATGTTCTTATGCTGCACCTTCTGCACTGTTCAGAAAGGGTCCATTTTCACCTACATATTGACCTACATGGTCATCTACAGATATAATTCCATTTTCTAAGCGGATTTTAAACTCTATCTTCTAACACCCAGAAGACTCTGCAGTGCGTGTTGACATTACATGAGGACAAGATTGTCGGCCTGTGTTGCCAAACAAAGCTCTCTTCTGATAAGACTGCAGGATTCCACTCTGAATGAAAAGTGAACTTTTTACAACTCACAAGTTAAATAATCATTAAATGATCATATGGTTGAATGAACCGGATGTTATTTGCATAATAATAATGTTTGAATAATCTGCCTAATTCAGTGAAGTTGAAATGAATATTGTTCTGACAATGATCCATTTATATATTTTGATCAGTAATGTATGATTTAACAGGTTAATCACTATCTCCACTCATACACAATGTTCATAGGATATAAATTACGGTTACGGTCACCTCTCACATAAGTTTAAAGATTATTTATCCACAGAGTTAGAACATCTTTGTATCTGATGAAGGTGTGGTTCTGATGGATGTTTGGTAAACCTACAACATGTCAAATTCTGATTCGCCAGAATCATAACATGGGGGATTAATAAAACTAGGATGATTTCCAGAGTTACTCAGTTTCCAGCTGACACCTCGATTCGGCCAAATCGGGAAAGAAGCCTTTTTGAAACAACATCTCTTTGAACTTAAGTCAAAAACTTGCCACGAAGCTGCAAGTGATTACAGACACAACAGCTCATTCCAAGAGCTACTGCAACTCGGACGCCTAATCTGCAGACCCCGGGTTGCATCTCATGGCCAGGGAAGTTGAACTCAGAGGAAGCTACTAATCTCTGAGGATCGTGGTCTCGACGTCCAGTGACCTCACCACTCTGACCGTAAACCTCCGGACCGCCGGGAACAACTCATACAAGGGTATCGTAGACTGCATACTGGTGTCTGATGTGGTTTTATTAATAATCACTCTCTAGTTTATAGCAGACAACAAATTATTTTACACTCAGAACTCAGTTTCTTCCAGATACAAAGGTTCTGATATACATCTACTTTACACCATCATCACCGCAATCACACTCCATCATCACACATAAATTCCTTCACATATCATTATTCATAGCTTGTCATGTAATACAATTAGTCTAGAAAATAAAGTTTATTTTTAATTACATACTTGACTCTGTCTGAATTAATACGAAGTGTGTTTATGGTCACTGAACAAGCAAAGAATCCTAAATTCTTCTAGTTAAACATTCAAAGATCAATCAGGTTGATATTCTATAATTATATAGAATCATCACCTCTTATTGGTCATTATTAAACCCCCCATAATCTCACTACATAATAACATTACAGTTAGCTCACCCTTTAACTTTGTTTCTTTTTCATTTTTAAATTGCATTTCCTGTCACGTTGATTTTAATGTTCTTGCTATTCTTACTAATGGAAAGCACATTGAATTGCCTCTGTGTATGAAATGTGTTATTTCAATCAATGAATCAATCAAGCTGCCCTTCCTTGCCTTAACAGTGCAAACGGCAATATTTTTGATATTTTGTGCCTACCTTTGCTATAATAGCCTGATATAGAACCTTTAAGGTTGCTGACATGTACCTTGGTTAAGCTTGTTAAATGTAAAAAGGTCATTATTGTGATTGTATTGTTATTTCTGAGACTGATGGAGAAATTAGTTTCATTACTGTTCCTATTTGAC